TTGGTGATGATCGGGGGCGGGTGGGTGATTAAACAAAAACAGGCTGAAAAGAGCCGCAGGATGCAAACTTGTATCTTTTCACTTCGCTGCCAGGGAAAGAGCGGGCGCATGAGTATGAGAAACACTGACGTTTTGCTCCGTAACAGCCACAAATGTCATTGGGATTTGACGTGACAAAAAAGTAGCATGTTGTAAAATGGGATTAAAATGAAGCGTGTTCTTTATCATTTTCATAAAAATGTAAAATGAGTTGTGCATTTGGATTCAGCCCCTTCACTCGAACATCCTAAATAAAATCCGGTTCCATCTGTCAGTCTCCTGAACAGTAAATAGAGTCCATCACTGTTCCTAGGCTTTACTCTGTTTTGTTAATTCTATTTTTCTATTTACCTAGGACTTTCCTTCAGTAACTCAGCTCCCTGCCTCCCCAGTTGTCTCTCATCTGCTCATTAGCTCACCTTTCTGGCATTCCAGAAATCGAGCTCCTCGACACATCCTTGGTTTTCACAGTTTGTGTCAAATTCTCTGCTGCTGCCACCAGCCTGGGGATTCCCAGAACTCTAGTTTTTCTGTGAGCTTTTGTTTGGTTTTGTACTTAGGTGACTTTTATGATGTTTCAATTATAAATAACGTACTCTGTTTGGCGTACTGTATACTTGCGTGCCTCTCGGTCAGGTCTTTCTTGTAAGAGATAAGAAACAAAATGTCCTTGTAGTCCTCAAGTGCCAGTGTCCTGCAACTTTTAGATTATGTTTTCACATAATATGATAATAAAACCCACAGGGACAGAATGTGGACGTGAATGTGATACACTTTTGCAGTAAACCTCACTTGACGAGCACTGAACTGCTGTGCTCTGTCACTCTGCCGTCCTCTGTTGACGCCTGCCGCTGTTTTCCCACATTGACTCGGAGTAAGAAGATTAACTGAGGGAGAAGAAACCAGTGCAGCTCTGCCAGCCAACACACAATCTCTCTCCGTTCCACGACTTTCTCGCCTGCCTTTTCTCCCACCTCCATCAAGCTCAACTTTCAGCCTCTTCAATTACACACAAAACTCCATTCAATCTCTCGGTTAGAAAGCTGTGCTTCCAAATGAAAAGGGAGGTGCTTCAACTGCATGTGAAAAAGAGATGAAGGAAAAGCCAAAAAGGTGAGTCGATATTCATCTATCGCAAAGCTAATTGCATTTGATTTGGCAAATAAGCTTAAAATGAGCAACGATGCCCTTCATCGCTTATATATGTGTGTGTGGACTCCGAGTGCGTGAGAGGGGTCGTAAAGATCCGGCAAAGAAATTCCTCCCACGTAGATGAAACCAGAGCCTGAACAAACAGCTACTGGAGCTGGCACTTTAATAGGAGGTGTTAAAAGGAGGAAATGACTCCAACTTCACACACCGTAAATGAAAATTTACACTCATTTTGATTCAGAGATGTTTCTTTGTCATTTCTGATTCAAGTTGTTTGAAACTCCAACAGCAACTTTGATGCAGATGCCTAAATTTATATTTGTGCATAAGTACTGGAATCAAAACAATAAATGTGTGTTATACATACGCTTTACCTGTTAATGTCAATTATTGCTAATATTTAGCAACAGTGGAAATAATAGTTTTTTTTTTGTTGTTTTACATAAAAATATGCAGATGTTTTTTTTATGTATATTTAATTTTACCTTCAGAATCTGATACAGCCGTACCCAAGTATCAAGGTGTTAGTTAGGTCTGCAGATTCTCGTCACCATAATTGATGATGCCAAATAGAATTTTTTAAGATTTTATCTTCTATGTTTTTCCAAAGATTCTTGGCAAAAGTTGTGCATTCTTTTAATTGTTGGATGTGCAAAGACTCTCTTCCCTGCAGTCTGTTGAAGTGTATGTTTGTGTGTGTCTGTGAGTGTGTGCCTTTAAGTCATTTGAGTTTAGCTTTGGGTGCACTACTATTTCATATCACCTTATTTGTTTTGGGGGGGTTTTAATAAGCTAGGATTTAAAAGTTTTTCAAAGTTTTCGAAGGCCTGAGGGGGGTCAGAAGTATTGTACTAAAAGTTAAGTCATAATAAATGAAAATTTGGATGTTCTGTAAGTTTTGCTGTGAATTGCAGCAGTAAAAGAGTTTAACTGTGGTTAAGTGAGATCTCTGTCTTCACTGAAGGTTGCAATGATTAGCTGCTTGCTTGTTTTCTCGTGCTGATCTGTCAACTTGTGCAAAAGCCCAGTGTTAAATGTCTGAATCCCATTTTTAATCACGTTTAGATAAAAAGAATACCTAAAAAGGGCTAGTAGAAACAAATATTCTCCTTTTGAAGTTGATCTTATCACTAATTCAGTCCCACCGTATTTAGAATTTTAAACACTCATACTTGTTGATTTTACATATCCATACTTTAAAGCACATCGACTGTGTGTTTAATACTTTTGGTCCAATTGGAGCCATTGTGATGATATTTGAGTGTTGTTGTTTTTTATCGAAGTATATTGGGAAATGTGTGTATGGCTAATGTTCTGCTGAGAGTCAGTTAGATGTGAGGATCTGTGCCACCCTCATATTTCATATTAAACCATGAATTATTAAGCTGACACTTACAGACTGCAGGCCGAGTGAAGCAGGTGGGCTGACTCTCCTCAAAGATAACGAAACCCAACCGCCAGCTATTTTACACTCACTATAGAAAATCACATTTATAAGCCAACAAAATCACATTTATAAGTAGTCGGAGCTTTTCTAGCTATTTTTTATTTTGAAACAAATATCACCCAAAATATCTGTTCAGGTTTTGTCTTTCTATAAACTCAAGGAAGCTTCCTTGTTCCTTTGAGGAGAAGCAGGAAAGCTTCTCCTCACAGCATTATGCTGCCACCACCATGCTTCACAGTGGGGATGATGGAGCCTAAAGACATTGTAAAATTATCAGAAACAGATGTGTATAATTGTCTTTCCACTTTACAATTTTCACATAAAATCTCAGTAAAATACCTCCTAACACTATTTGCAATGCCTCGTATTGCTGTTTTTTTTTTTTTACGCGACTAAATCCAGCATCCATCCAAGCCTTTAAAAGGAAACGACATTAAAAATTAAACAGGTCGTCCACTGATCAAAGTAAAAAAAAAAAAAAACCTCATCCATAAATAAGCAGCTTTGATCACTGCCAGCAGAGATCATGTCAAACACAAATGACAATTTAATAAACCAAAAGGCTGTTTGTATTAACCAGATCACTTAAACTCATCACATGACATTGCTTCTTTCATCAGCTCAATCAAAACCGAATTGTTCTGCACCGTGCATTGAGATCTGATGTAAAAAAAATAATAATAAATAATAAAAATGTGGGATATCAACCTCATAAACACATGATGAAGATGTGGATTTAGTCTCTCTCCGTCTGAAATTTTTCAATTTGTATTCCTACATGTATAGCAGTCTTTAACGAACCAATTTAACTGGCAGGAAAAGAAAAAGAGAGGAGAAAATTTGGTATGTATTAAATGATTCATCAAGGCATAGCTGCCAATCAAAAGCAAACCCACATATTTCTTTCCTGCATGTTTATTCAGTCTGATCTGGAAGGCCTGTCATTTCTGAAGCATGTTAGCCCAGTGAGTCACACGTAAATTACAGAACCGTCCGCGGTTTCCTGTTTAGCTTTTGGTTGAAATAAATAACTTAATTATCTCTGTGATATCATAGGGTAAATAAAAACTTCATACGGCAAAATAAAAACAAACAAAACAAAAAGCAAGATGAAGCCTTGAAATAAGCCCAACCATCAACTCATCTGAGTGCAATAAAAATAAGCATAACTCAGTCTAATCAAAAGCAACAATAAAAAACGACACACACTTTGTGCACTTACCCAGAACAATCCACCTCACTCCTTTAGCCGTTTCATTTCTGTAAAAAGGCCTCGTTGGATTGCTTTCAAGTGTTGTGATCTGTTGTTCAGCGGCCAGCGAATGCACCACTGCACCGCCTGTACAAATTGCATCTGACAGCACGCGCTTTTTATTCTGTGTGATTACAGTTTTAATGTCAAAGGCGTCTCCCTCCTCCATCACACAGTCCTCCCCAAAAGACTTCAGACGAGGGAGAAAATCCCAGCGATGTTTGTTCTTAGCAGCCTTAACGACAACACACGTTTTATCAAATGCCTGCTGTAACCCAGGTATGTTCACACCAATCTCTTACAATGCCGATGACTGTTTATTATTTATTTAAAGCAATGTCTATGTCTTTAACAAAAACAGTCGGGTAATAAATGCATGGATTCAGCTTCAGGACTTCCTGTAAATATAAAGTTATAAAAAGTTATCACCTGCTCTGCGTGTGTTCGGTTCAAATAGCATCACAAACGGACAAAAAAATCGAGCTGATCAGCCGACATCGCAAGACGCTTAAAAAAGGACATTCAACATATATTCTAAAGCAATGGAGTTGCTAAAAGTCAGACGATTTTTGAAAATGAAACTCATCGTAGATGCGATGGGTAACCCAAGCATGTCGTAATCATTATTCTTAAAATATTTGTAAATTGTTTCCTAATCGAGAGAAAAATCTTGATGAGAAAGCTTCCTTGAACACACACTCCTGATGACAACACATGACGCACAGAGCAACTAATCAAGCTCTACAGACGATCGTTGTTCTCCCTTTGTGGTCTGGAAATCATCAGAACCAAATTCTGGCACAAATAAGTAAGTTTAGATCTGCTGCATTATCCGCCAAGACATTTACCAATGCCAGCTCATCATGTTGATTCCTGTACCTCTTGTGATGTCACCCAGCAAATACACGCCATGTGGAATCAACAGCCTTTTCTAAAGAACGTCAATGAAAGATTTATTCTGTGAAAACCTACAACAGAAGTTCATATTTCCTTTCCTAACTAGTGTATGTTTTACTAGTGGAAAAATGCACCACTGGACAATATCTTCAAGATGAACCCATCTAGGTTTCACTTTTCTTTGTAACCTGATCTAATAAGTGTTGACCTTACCCTGATTCTCCTCATGGCTGCTACAATCTCCATCCGACTGTTGGGCCTGGGCACGTCAAGACTCCCCACATACTGTGGCAAACATGTACACACACATGAAAAAAAAAAGAAGAAGAAAATAAATCAGTCATCCATGGTACCACGCACTGCAAAAAGACAGTTTGACAAAATCAACTATTTCCATGTGAAAATGCACAGATTGTTTGACGTGAACAAAGTTCTGCTAATATTTCTTATTGACTGTCACTCAGACTAATAAAATTTCCACCATAGTAGCAGAATAACACAACAGAATCCCTACAACTTCTCTTCTTGCACACTGTTAGTCAGCAGGACTGTAAGTCATTTCTTCTTAATTACAATAAAAAAAAATGTTTGTTTGTTTGTTTTAAAAGTCAATTTTGAAAATTACAAGTGACACGCACTTAAGCAGCTGACTGCAGACAGGCTACTTGAGCAGATAGCCTGACTACTTAACCAGATAATCAGTTTGGTAGACCTTAGGTGTTATTCTATTAATAGCAGAATGACAAAAAAAGAGGAACAAAATTGTGCAATAAGCACCTTTACTAGATGGTTATTTCATTTTTTGTGTACTTCAATGTATAAACATCCATCCATCCATCCATCCATCCATCCATCCATCCATCCATCCATCCATCCATCCATCCATCCATCCATCCATCCATCCATCCACCTTCTTTACACCCTTGTCCCTCAGTGGGGTCGGGAGGGTTGCTGGTGTCTATCTCCAGCTATCGTTCCGGGCGAGAGGCGGGGTCACCCTGGACAGGTCACCAGTATGTCGCAGGGCAGCAGCATGCAACAGTAATAAGTTAACTAAAGCATAATGGCCTCATATCATAACCTTTTTACAGCAGAAGAAAGAACCGCTACAAATGAAAACATTTAAATTATTTTGTGCATGTTTGTTTGAAATTGCTGTGTTTATTCTGAGAAACCACAGCGTTTTTGCTCAAGTTACAATATCATGAGAATCTCCAAATAACTTATGCATAGTCCCAAATATTGTGCTAGGTACTGAGACTTATTTAATTATGGAAATTTATAAAATAAGTTTTTAAAACATTTGACCTTTTTTGACGCACTAAAATGTGTTGGGCAAAAAAAAAAAAACAAGACAAAGAAAACGTGGTATTTAAGTTTTAAAGTAAGATACATTTTTTTATGGTGTCGCTTTCAGCTGAAACGGCAACTTACAAATGTTGAAAAATGGAACCAGTGGGAAAAACTGAAGTCAGCAGTGCATCTCTATTAGCAACCATTCTCTGCATACAATACATACCAATCATTGGAGTGTCAGCATGTGGGGCAGATTGTGCCTTCGAAAGAGATCAATGTGCGAAAGACGCCGCAAAACAATGATTTTTCTTGCAATGTGTCAAATCTGCATGGCTCTGTTTCAAAGATGAGTTTAGTGTGGCACAGATGACACAGCCTTCCCTTATTAGTAAGCTCTTTGCAGCTTGCATATATTTGAATTCATGAGTGGCCCTGGGGAACACGCCGCCTTTGATGTTGCTCTTATTTTGATTGCAGTAAACTGTCTAGGAGCAGAAAATCTGTACCACTGACTTGGTAAAAAAAGATATGTCTTTGGTTTTGCTGTTTAGTATTTAGAGACTCGCTGTGTGCACTCATTCAGTTTTATTCATTCATAGTCCTCGAGTGAATTTATTGAATGAGATGTTTTTCTTTCATCAAAAAAATAAATAAAAAATGTGATGCTTATCACATGCACTTCCTGTTAGATGGAGGATGGTTCTGACGCACGTTTAAATTAAGCTATGGTTCATACGCTTTATTTTTAGTCGCTGAGAATCTGTAAAGGAGTACAGCAGAAAAGTTGGGCATACGTACATAAGCTTCAAAGTTTACTTTTTAGACCTTGTACATCTTAACTTGTTGTTTTCTGAAACAGTTTTTTGTTGTTGTTGTTTCTTCATCCACTGAAAACAAAAAAATTTCCAAAATCTGCAGGGGACGTGGGCTCGAAGCTAGCCGTTATGTCTGATGTGATCGTAGGGTATGTCTGTGTTTCCAACATCATAGTTTTCAAATAGTTATGTTTTGGTTAGCTACTTTAAAATCTAACAAATTACAACACTTCAAGGGCTTATGAGTTTTCTTCAGAAATGTAGAAGCAAGTTGTTTTTACAACATTATATATTTTAACATTGGAAGAAAAAAAAAACTACAAATTCAGACCTCCCCCAAAATCATGCAGGCTCTTGCCTAGACATGCCTTTGCTCAAATCCAGACACAAAACTAAGAATTTAAGAATATCAGTTTCTATTATTCTTGCACGTAAAGAACAGAACATATTACATATGAGTCAAAAATAACAAAATAAAATAAATGTCCTCTTTTTTTATAGAACTAATAAGTAAAAATATATAATGTATTAAGACAGTGAAAAGGGTCAATCTAGGAATTGCAGTCCAATCAGAGTTACTGTTATGGACTTCAGACACAGGGATCTTTACTGTTGAACAGGAAACAGCACTTTATT